CTAACACAGGGAAACGCAGGCTCAAGTATGGTGTAACAATATAATTTATTAAGGGTTATACACAAATATAACGCACAATATAACAAATCCAAACCTCCAAATGATAACGGAATGTACACAGATAAGAGCAGTCAGGGCTGGTGAGGTGGAGTGGTCAGGCGGGCCGGGTCAGGAATCATCGGGCAGACAAGACACAAGGAGTAGGCAGAGCGTAGTCAGACAGGCCGGGTCAGGAACAATCAGGCAGACAAGGTACCAAAGGAGCAGGCTGGAGAGTGGTCAGGGAATAGCCGAGGTCAGGACAGGCGGAGTTCATTCAGGGTCAGGATCAATCAGAATCAGGAATCAGGCAGGAAGCAGACAGGATGCAGGTACAGGGGCTCATGGGAAACATACACCAAGGCGCTGACTGCAGGTCTGGCCATTCCTTAAATACACCTCCTGCAATCAGCCTCAGGTGGCTGACTGCAGGAGTGAGCTTCTGGTTGCTGAGAGTACCCGCTGGCCAGCCCTGGTACTGCAGCCCACAAGGCAGGTGAGTCCCACCACCATTGGCAAGTCCATTTCTGACAGGCTGGCTGTATATAAGTCAATCACCTGATATAACCTGTATAACCAGTTTTGGGATATTTTTGCTCCATCAGTGCAGTTGGCTATAGCTGATGGTGCTAATGAGTGTATTGTGGTGGCAGGGAAGCCTCCCCACTACCTTTATACAATAGCTCTGCAGGAGAGCTTCCCCCATCCAGCCTGAATGTGTAGATGAGCGAACAGATTTGTTTTCTTTCCAGAAGGTTGAAGGAAAGAAAATGAATCATGTATGACCTGCCTTACAAATAGCTAATAAGATCATTGCTCTCCATGGTTACTTATCTGAGAGGGAGGAATAGCCCATTGGTCAAGGAACCCCTGTCGACCTCTGAAGGAACCTTAGGGTTCCACAGAACCCTGGTTGAGAAAGGCTGTCCTAGAAATATTTAAATCATACAGTACGGATGCCTCTTCCAATTGGAACAGATTTTCAATGTAACGCAATTGATCATTTTGAGTATATTATTGAAAAACAAATAAGATTTTTCCCTTGGCCTGGGCAAATATGTAATTACAGGGCAATGTGGCTTATCTTAACTGTTCATAATCCATCAACAATAGATAACAACCATACAATCCATCAACTTGCATAGATCCTCATACCACTGATATATACTGTATGTGAAATCACAGAGAAATGGTTCACAGTTCATGCAAATATGGACTTGTGTCATCAAGACTTGGTCAATTCTTGTAGAGTATATATAGAGGTCTCCAAGTAGTACCAATATTGCGAACACTCCCAAATTTAAATAACTACAACCCAAAAGAAAAAAAAGAGAAAAAAAACTTTCACCCTTGAAAGTAATATAATAAATATAATGACTCTTTCTTTATCCCCTAAAATTATACCTTCTAAAGTGAAAATCTACACATATACAAGATATAAAATTATAACATAATAATACAAGATAAAATATAAATATAAATAATGTCCCAAAATGTCTCTAAAGATTCAAATCACTTTCTCTTATACCTTCACATCATCTCTTGTGATACTGTGTACGAAATTCCAAATATACTGATCCAAAGTTGAAAAACCTCAAAAAAATATAAACTACAAGTAGTAGCAACGTCAATCTGCATATTTTATGAAAGGACCCATAGATAAATCTAGGGAGTAGTTCAAGCAAATCCACCTTGGATCTGAGTTCCCTACTTGAAACATACAGTATAAATGTCAGAGACATAAATTGCTCACACATAATTTCAAATCAGGCATCTTTTAGATTGTAAGCTCAAACGAGCAGGGCCCTCTGATTCCTCCTGTATTCAATTGTATTGTAACTATACTGTTTTACCCTCACATTTTAAAGTGCTGCACAAACATTTGGTGCTATATACATCCTGTATAATAATAATAACATGCCACCCATGGTGATTGGTGATACTCATATATTGTTTTATTTTCTTATACATCACCCATAAAATGAATGGAGCAATGATTGATGATCATCCTTTTACTGGTCCTTGACTTTGCTTTTCCAGGGAGGGATCATGGATCCATAGATGGAAGCCTAAAAATGAAAATGTTACCAAAAAAGAAAAAAAAGTATACTATTTTTGTTTAGCTTTTCTGTTTTTTTTTTTTTGCTTTTTTTTTTTTTTCATATGCAGTCAGCTCATTTTAACCCTTTCACATCCAGAGTTTTGCACACGTTTAGATCATCAACCATTTTAGGCCTGAAGATTACGTAAAACCCCCCAAAACATTATATATTTTCATGAAAGCGGACACTCTAGAGCAAGGGGTCTCCAAACGTTTACTGTCCTTCAGACTTTAGGAGGGCAAGAGTGCCCTGTGAGAGTAGAAAATGTCCCAGCGTTAGTAGGAGTACTTGTAGTCAACCTTGGTTATTTGGAAGAATAGTACCTAATTGTTTATATCAGTTGGATGAATTGTGCCCCATCATTGGTGTCAGTGGAAGGAAAAATGCCCTATAGTTGATGCCAGTGACAGAAATGGTGCCTCCTTATTGGTGTTAATGGGAGTAATAGTACCCCGGGGGCCAGATAGAGGAAAGCAAAGGGCCGTCATTCAGCCCACAGGCCGCAGTTTGGAAACCACTGCCATAGAAGATACAGTGGTGGTAGTTTCCATTTTTTATTTTACACAATTTTAGCCCAATGGTTTATGCAAAAATTTTATGTTCAGCAACCGGGTGTGTTTGTAAAAGCTGCCCAAGCCAACAAGTACATTGCTGGCAGTAGAAGTGTTAAAGGATTTTAGATTTGTGAGCTAACAGAGAGCATATATGATACATATTAATTGTATTTTTGTTTTCAATATTTATAATATATTTTTTGTGCTTTTCTATTTCATTTGGACTAATATGGTAATTTTTGGTTTTTGGATTGCATATCCTTATGTATATTGGAAGCCTTTTCTACTGATCTTGTATTTACTATGCCTGAAGTTCAGCTTTGAGGCAAAGCTGCGTTCCTCTTGTGAAGATTAACTCCTCACCTCCTGCCCCAGAGAAATAACAGATAGTGTGGATCTCCCTATTCGGGTACACAGACTGCAATAATGGTGATTTTTGGTACCTAGTAAGAATGCCCTTAAAATGCCCTTCCGGGATATAGCTAACTAATCTTGAAGTGTTACTAAACCCACAACAGTAAAATCAGTCTGTATATGCAGTAAAGCATGCTTGGTATACTCACTGTGGAACCTAAGGGGTTAATAATCCTACTGCATTGTGTAAAAACGCTGTTTGATCCTGTCCTCTTTGATCCTTCCCTTCTTCCAGTGTCCCCTCTTATCTCCTGATAAGACATATTGTGTGGCGTCACTCTGCGCATGCTCAATTTGGTGTGTATTGCTATAGAGGTGGGTTTATTTCTTGGGAGAGTGTATGTGATCAGCACAGGGCCAATCAGCACTGTTCAGAGGACAAGGGTCCTGCATCCTCCTAGAGCAGAATGAAAACTCCTTCTACAAGCATTAACCAGTGTTCTGCTGGACACTGAAAGAAGTCACAAGATTGCTATATACTGCTGATGAGAAAAGGTATTTACCAGTTTATATTTACCAAAATAATTGCACTTCCATGTTCTGTGTACTGTGGGAGATCGGATATAGTGAATGAAGGGTCCTGGGTTTAGTAATATATATATAACCTCTTGCCAACCTTACTTTTACTTTTACAGGGCGGACGGTCTGTGCAGAATCACGTACAGTATATATATGTGATTCTGCATCTCCGAATAGGGGGCGTGGATGCGCCCACCTACCCTGTGCTGTTATTGGCTCCTGTACATGTCAATCAACAGGTCCCAGTCAGCGATCAGCGAGCAACTGACAGGAGAGAAATCTGCAAAGCAGGGAGATAAAAAACCACCACATCCCTTAGTAAAACACCACACAGTACATAGTAAAATTACTTCCTAACACACAATTAACCCTTTGATCACCCCAGATGTTAACCCCTTCCTGCCCAGTGCCATTAGAACAGGGACAGTGCTTTTTATTAGCACTGACCAGCTTATTAGTGTCACTGGAGATGTCAGTGGCAGTTAGTCAGTTCCCCACCAGTGTCAGTTAGTGTCTCAGAATGCCCTGCTGTACTATTACAGTCCCACTATAAGACACTGATGACTAGGCCATTACTAGTATTTAAAAAAAAAAAAATATAATAATATATATTCCAGTATATACTGTATACCATTGTTTCTAGATGCTATAATTTTCATGCAACCCAATTAATATACACCTATTGAGATTTTCTTTTACCAAAAGACATTCGCAAAATACATTTTGGCCAAAATTTATGAGGAAATTGTATTTTTTAGATTTTTTCACTGGATATGTTTTTATATCAAAAAGAAAAAAAAAAAATCTTTTGTCTTTTTTTTGTTTCTAGTTGATCAAAAACAGTGGTGATACAATACCACCCAAGGAAAGCTATATTTGTGTGATAAAAATTACCGTATTTGTTAGCTCCATAAGACGCACCTAGGTTTTAGAGGTGAAAAACAAGAAAAAAAAATATTCTGAACCAATGGACTGCGGACACAGTACAGGGGGATGACCAGAGACTGCGGACAAGTACATGACCAGAGACTGCGGACACAGTGCAGGAGATGACCAGAGAACACAGTACAGGAGATGACCAGAGACTGTGGACACAGTACAGGAGATGACCAGAGACTGCGGACACAGTACAGGAGATTTTATGACCAGGATCTGCGGATTGCAGGAGATGACCAGAGACTGCGGACACAGTGCAGGAGATGACCAGGATCTGCGGATACAGTGCAGGAGATGACCAGAGACTGCGGAACAGTGCAGGAGATGGTCAGAGACTGCAGACACAGTACTGGGGATGACCAGAGACTGCGGACACAGTGCAGGAGATGGTCAGAGACTGCAGACACAGTACTGGGGATGACCAGAGACTGCAGACATAGTACAGGAGAAAGACTGTGGACACAGTGCAGGGGATGACCAGAGACTGCGGACACAGTTTTTTTGACCAGTTGCAGACAGTGCTATGACCAGAGACTGCAGACATGCAGGGGGATGACCAGAGACTGCAGACAGTGGGGGATGACCAGAGACTGCAGACAGTGCAGGGGATGACCAGAGACTGCAGACAGTGCAGGGAATGACCAGAGACTGCTGACCTTTGGGGAGGGAGGGGGAGCGGATACCTGAATTTGACAGGTATCCCACTTCCGCGGAGTTGCCTTTCTTTTCCCGGGCCGGCTTGTACAGCCGGGTGCCCACTGCGCATGCGTGAGAAGCGCTGCGCTTTGTGAATGGCCCGGCGCCTTCTGGGACCTTTCATGTGTCCCAGAAGACAGCGGATCATTCACAAAGCGCAGCACACATGCGCATGGGCACCTGGCTGTCACAGAAGCCAGGCGGGAAGCAAACTGTGCAGCGCTGGAGCGAGGAACAGGTAAGGCCCTGCAGGAGATAACAGCTGAGCGGCCGGCCCGGTGTTCTGACATGGTGGCCGCAAAAATATGACCGGCCGCTTTATATTCGCTCCATAAGACGCACTGACATTTCCCCCCCTTTTTTGGGGGAAAAAAGTGCGTCTTATGGAGCGAAAAATACGGTATATAGATTTCATTTGTATACAGTTTTGCAATTGTCATTTAAAGTAGCACAGTGCCGTATAGCAAAAAAGTATGAAGGGAGGCAAATATTCTGGAGGGCAAGTGGATATACACAGTATGTGCACAAGTGCGTGGATAGTTCTTTTTTTTTATCTTTCTCTTATTTTTTTTGTTTGTTTGTTATGACAAATGATGGATTAAGGCAAAGATCAGCAGGCACTGAAGGCAAGGGGAAGAGCAAGGGCAGTCGCTGAAAAATATTGAGAGGTTAAGATAAGATCAAAGGTCTTGCTGAAGATTCGGGTCAAGATGAGGATTAAGATCACGGGTGTTGCTGTACTCTAAGACGGGATTGAAGAGGTCAGATGAGGATCCCAGTGTTTCAATATAAAAGGATTCTGTAAGGCTCTTTGTAAAGCAGAGATTGAGTAATATAAACAACCAGCTGGGCCTTGTAATACTCACTCACAGCTGCTGTATACGTAATTAGACCTTTTCCGTAGCACCTTGAGAGCCCCCCAACCCACTGCACCCTATCAGGCAAACAGCATCTTCATTCCAGGAAGCCAGTGCTTTGCTCACCACCAACTATCTTTTGTATCATACTGACGGCTGCTACTGTAATAGGGATTTTAGCAAATTTTTTTTTTTATTTCGGTGTAAATTAGCTGAAACAGAAACTTCCACTTTTGCTTTTAATTTTTTCTTTTATTTAGAGGGTTTTTTTTTTAGAGGATTTTTTTTCCTGGTTTAGGATTTTTTTTTTTCTATTAACTACAACAATACCAGACACTTTCCCTGCCTTCCCTGCTTAGACCAATTTTCAGATTTCAGCACTGTCACACTTTGAATGCCAATTACTCCATCATGCAGATAGAGTATTCTTTTGGTGGTATTTAATCAGCACTAGGTTTATTATTTTTTTGGTATGTAAATGAAAAGATACCAATCATTTGGAGAAAAAAAAAAAAAACGTGTTTCTTTGTTTCTGTTAAAAACGTTTGCAACTAAATAATCTTTCCTTATAAATTTAGGCCAAATTGTATTGTGCAACATTTCTTTTGTAGAAATAACCAAAATCAGTGTATGTTATGTAAAATGTATTAGTCCTGGACTCCTGATGTACTGACATCTCATTTCTTGAGGTCCTAAAATGCCAGAACAGTACAAATACCCCTTTTTGAAAAGTAGACACCTCAATGGTGAGTTTTTGAAATTGTAATTTTCTTCACAATTTTTTGGAAAATGAAGACATTTTTTTAAATTACTTTTTCACTTTTTTTCCCCCACATACTGTCACCAGTGCAGTACAGCATCATCATATGACTGGTGTGGCGGTGATCAGGGAGACCAGCTGGTGACAGAATGTAAAAGAAAAACAAATGTATATATATATATATATATACATACACACTATATTGCCAAAAGTATTGGGTCGCCCCTCCAAATCATTGGACTCAGGTGTTCCAATCACCTCCATGACCACAGGTGTATACAATCAAGCACCTAGGCATGCAGACTGCTTCTACGAACACTTGTGAAAGAATGGGTCGCTCTCAGGAGCTCAGTGAATTCAAGCATGGTACCGTGATACATTGCCACCTGTGCAATAAGTCCATCCATGACATTTCCTTGCTACTAAATATTCCAAATTCAACTGTTAGTGGTATTATAACAAAGTGGAATCAACTGGGAACAACAGAAACTCAGCCACTAAGTGGTAGGCCACGTAAAATGACAGAGGGAAGTCAGCATATGCTGAAGTGCACAGAAGTCGCCAACTGTCTGCAGAGTCAATAGCTATAGACCTCCAAACTTCATGTGGCCTTCAGATTAGCACAACAACAGTGCAAAGAGAGCTTCATGGAATGGGTTTCCATGGCCAAGCAGCTGCATCCAAGCCTTACATCACCAAGTGCAATGCAAAGCGTCGGATGCAGTGATGTAAAGCACGCCGCCACTGGACTCTAGGAGTGAGGAATCACACTTCTCTGTCTGGCAATCCCATGGATGTGTCTGGGTTTGGCGGTTGACAGGAGAACGTTACTTACCTGACTGCATTTTGCCAAGCATAGGGTTTGGTGGAGGGGGGATTATGCTGTGGGGTTGTTTTTCAGGGGATGGGCTTGGCCCCTTAGTTCCAGTGAAGGGAATTCTTAAGGCGTCAGCATACCAAGACATTTTGGACAATTTCATGCTCCCAACTTTGTGGGAAGAGTTTGGGAATGGCCCCTTCCTGTTCCAACATGACTGCGCACCAGTGCACAGAGCAAGGTCCATAAAGACATGGATGAGTGAGTTTGGGGTGGAGGAACTTGACTGGCCTGCACCTCAAACTGATAGAACACCTTTGGGATGAATTAGAGCGGAGATTGCGAGCCAGGCCTTCTCATCCACATTAGTGCCTGACCTCACAAATGCTCTTCTGGAACAATGGTTAAACATTCCCATAGACACACTCCTAAACCTTGTGGACATCCTTACCAGAAGAGTTGAAGCTGTTATAGCTACAAAAGGCGGGCCAACTCAATATTGAACCCTACGGACTAAGACTGGGATGCCATTAAAGTTCATGTGCATGTAAAGGCAGACGTCCCAGTACCTGGCAATATAGTGTATATATATTTATTTTCAATTTAAAAAAAAAACGTTTTTCTTATTTTACAATGTTTTTTATACCCTGTGACTAGAGCAGTACATTATAACCATAGTGACATCATATGACGTCCACACAAAATTATGGTGCTCCCACTGACCGTATTTTTATAACAGGCTGGGCAGAAGGTGGTTAAATATTCTTTGCTCTTCTGAAATGTTTATGTTCTTTTTTTTGTCTTTCTGTGAATAAATTGTAAAATAATGAGACTAATGAGAAATTGTTTTTGGGCACAAGATATAGGATAGATGAAAAGATCTTCCGTAGCCCTCTGGAGCCATTTTCTTGTTCAATAAATTTTTATTGCATTTTTAACAATACAGAAGTACAATCATGAACCAGTACATGTATATAATAAGGCCACAAAACAGAACAGAATTTAGAGGGCCATAGGGTTAGAGAAAATATTGAATACCCATCAAAGAAATAAAACATGTACATAGCAAGAATTGTAAACGGGGTAGTCTCACAGCAAGGAAATCAAGGTATGATAAATTTATAAGGTGCATTTTCTATATGATGGAGCATAAAGAAAGAGAGTTAGAAAAAAATAATGGAGGCTCATATAGTAGGACCAGTAAGAGTGAATTATATGTTGACTGGACTATCCAGACAGTTTGCAGGGGAGGGGCATAAACAAAATCTGGGTCCCAAGGCCTTGAATTCCAGACTAGGGGAAAGAAAAGGGAGGGGGCAGGTGGGAGATGAAGCAGAGTAGACTGGAGAGGAAAGAGGGAAAAGAAGAGGAGTGCGCCCTAGGGATGTAATGTAAAGGGATAATGTCAAAGTAGCAGCAGGCCAGGGGTAAATTCCTTACCCCTAACATCTGATGCCCCCCATCAGTAAAATGAGAATCAGAGGTGTAGTGCCCTATGATTGGGTTGTGAATAATCTATCCATGTGGTCCAAATTTTCAGCAACAGGAGTCATCTTAAGCCCATTACACACCAAATACCACTTAATTTTGCTTTCCCACCACTGATTAATTTCCCCGAAATGCTGATTTCATAGAATAGGCATCTATTGATTAAAGATTTGTCCTCCCTATGGATTGAAAAATTAGTTGCGTGGCTATTTTGGTATCCCCTTCTGTTTTGATTTGATGGCCTTTGGTGTGCTGGTGCTCCACTCTGTTTCTATGGAAATACATGGTTCAATTTAATGTTTCTCCTATAATGGATGTGCACACAGATTGTTTTTAAGACGCTGTTCCATCCCTTGGGTAACATATTGCTCATGTGCTCCTGAAGATAATGGGTGTTCAAAATTCCCCTGAGCCTTAAAAGGACTATTCATCTGAGTCATCATGTAGAGCATGTCTGTGAACCTTTGGTTTGAACATATGTGCACAGCTTCTTTGTCTAATTTTACCTTTTATATAATAAAATATATGTATTTTAAATGTATGTAGTTATGTGGTATCAGAATTTTCTTTAAAGATGCCCTTGGCTACAGATTTCTCTTGAAGTTTTGTCTACATAATATAGGGTGTACACATCAGACTCTCTCCCCCTTACATGAGGCAACACATAGGAAGAAAAGACTAAAATGCCAACCTTCTAGTACAGTGGTCTCCAAACTGCGGCCCGGAGGTTGGATGTGGCCCTTTGACTACCTTATTTGACCCTTGGGGCACTATTTCACCACCTGATACCAATGATGGGGCACCATTCCTCCTACTTACACAATTGATGGTGCTATTCTTCCCACTGATAGCAACAATGAGGCCTTATTCCTCTAATTAAAACCAATAATGGGGCACTGTTTTCTCCCACTGATGTCGGGGCATTTTCTACTCCTGCTGGCCACAGTCTGGCTCTCCTAAAGCCTGAAGGGCAGGATGCTTTGCTTAGAAAGTTTGGAAACCCCTGTTGTAGTATAAACTCTATATTTGCATATCAAGGGCACTCTGGATTATGCTTGAACACAGCTGTAGGGAAGTACTATACGAGAATGGCAATGTATAGTATGTTACTCCAAGTACATGTACACAGAATTGTTTTGTAAATTTAATTGTGACAACAGCTAAT